GCTACCACATGCAGCCTGGGGCCTCCCCAGGAGCAGCAGCAGCCAGGCATGAGGCTGCTGCCAGTGGGCGGCTATCCCGGCTTGCCCCATACAGGTACCCAAGCCACACAGGGCACAGAGCCTTGATGTGGGCCTCTACATTGTCTTGCCCCACCGTCAGGGCTCCTGAGAGCCACGGGATCGTGGTCAGGGTGTTTGTGTGGATAGGTGGGTCTAGAGGTACATGCCCCACATCCCAGATTTTCTTCAAAATATGGTCACTCCAGTTCTACATATGCCTAGTAAACCATGCTCATAGAAGTGAGGGGTAGGTGTAGAAAGAAACTGTACAAAACAACCAGCTCAGAGACCTTCTGTGAACCCTGAGTTTGTAAATATCAAGGTCTGAGACTCTCGGTGTCTAATCCATAAGAATTTTTAATTCACAGATTTTAACCATTATTGGTTACAGGTTGGTTTACAAGTCAATGTAGGTTGGTATGTGGAGGAAGATACTGCTGAAAGTTTTCCTCCTGGAAGCACTACCTTTTTCTAAATGGTTCTGTTGATCTTTGGTAAAATAAAATATCATCCTGTTTATCTAATGTAGGACTGTACTTCTATTTTATTTTAGATATATATTCCCTCAAGGAGTGAAGAGTGGCATGGGAACAGTCTTATATTTGCATTAAATAGTCTTATATTTGCACTAAACCTGGAGCTCAAATAGGAGACCTTCTTCTATTCACCGAACTGCCCTTGGAATTGCAAAATTCTGAAGCAGGGAAGCCAGGATTTTGAGATTACTATGTGCAGCAGCATGAGCTGCTTGCAAAGATGTTCTTGCCACCATCTGCTTTTACTGCAAGTAAATTCTCCCTTACATTCCTGTGTCAACTTATCAAAAAGTCTGTAAATCTACTGTCATTGCCATAATGGTCCAGGAAATGAATGAGGGGCAAAGACTTTTAGTGATATCTTTTACTGGACCAACTGTATACTTGGGAGAGATCCCTGACAAGCTTTCAGGCATCAAGTGCCCTACCTCAGATCTCAGACTTGAGAAAGAAATCACTAAAAATCCTTGCCTCTTGTAAGTTTATTACAATTTAAGAAATCATAATGTGAATGCAGAGCTGAATTGTAAATATGCAGAGAAACAACTTTTATAACCAAGTAGATGTAATAGTTTTGGCTCTCTCGGGAGGAGTCATCTTTGGTTGCATAATCCATTATTCTTGTTCAGTGCCATAAGGCAGGATAGAACCAGCATTAATAAATATATTCTGCTCAGACAGATGCCACACGCTATCTTTTGTTGGGTTTCTTTGAGGCTGGAGTGAGTGCTGCTGGTATGCCAAATATTCTTGACAGGTTCCAATAACACCTCATTAATTAAAAAAAGCCATTCTTCCTAGTCAATTTACATATAATGACTGCATTTGCATGCAAGCTTAGATGCCTCTTCTGACCCAAAAACTCCATGTCTCTAGAAGAATAAGCAAGGGATCTCCCCCATTGAACTGTGAGTTTGATTAGAATATGGGACTTCCACATCTAACTGTAGGGCAGCAGAGGCAGGAGGACTGATCTTTGCAGAAGTTGTTAGTGCCATTGAAACAGTGGCACATGTATGAGAAGAATGTTAAAGCCAGCTGAAATCAAGGAATAAGTTACATACTTCTCCAAAACTAGGAGTTTCTTTGGGGCAATTAATTCCCCCAGGACAGATATAGATGATTTTGCAAAACTATCATTCTACAGATGTTAGGGTTGCTTGTGTGGCAGATGGTGCTGAGGAAGAAGTTGATATCCATATCAAAGCATGAGAATAATATGCTGGTCTCATAAGATATAGTCTCAGTGCTGGACAACAAAAATCTTTTCTCCTGATACAGTACAAATGTGTGAGTATCATGTTGCATCAGTTCCCAATTCATGCCATGGAGTCTTACTGGAGTGAGAACAAAAAGGCAATTTAGTCCCATTTTTTTTAGCAGCTGCTTTATGAAAGATCTGCTTCCGGTCTTAGAGGAGGGATTCTTCTTTCCCTCAAAAGGGTTAACAGGAACGATTGTACCAGAGTCCTACTAAGCCAGAGCTTTGGAAAATGAAGATCTAGAACTAATAAAAGTCGAGCTAATGGGGGCAGTTCTGGACACAACTTGTGTCATCATTAGCAGGATCCACAGCTTTGCAAGAGAAGTAATATTTAAAATCCAGGAACTTAAGATGTTGCATAGTAAAGTCCTGGTACCCGGAGACATCTCATGTACTGCCACAACAAACTGTACTTGGCAAAAGACTCCAAACCCAAACACAAAAGACCAAAGGCTAAAGGGCAGACACTTTACATGCCTAAATGGTGTGAACACAACCATGAAATTGCAGTTTGTATTGCATGTTTTCAGGGGGCTGTAGTAGGGCTGTGCGAAGCTTCGGTCACTGATTTCATTTGAAGGAGATTTGACCCAATTTGGCAGCTGAATCTCCGAATACGAATCAAATCAGGAGACCCATTTATTTTTCTGAATCGAATCGGTAGCCTTGGATTCTTCTCAGAGAGATTTGACGATTCAGCCATAGACACAGCTTTATATGTTTTTTGTATGTACCTCGAGGTACTAGGCACGGCTCGTGAACACTGAGATGGTGGGGCAGATGGAGCATTGGAGCATCCCACTGGGGGGGGGGAGGTCGGGTCCTCCGTGCACTTGGTGACAGACCTGGAAGTGCACCAGAATTAATTCTGGTCCACTTTCAGGTCCACCAAAGAGTGCACGGGGGACCCTCCCCGCTCAGCATCCCGGCTCGGTGACTGGTGCCTCCTGGGTCTGGGCAGGCACCCAGGATCCCCCCATGGCTGACGGGTCTCCACGCTCCCATGGGATGCTTCATCTGCCCCACCATCTCAGCGTTCACGCACCACACCTGGTACCTCAAGGTACATAGAAAAAAAAATATATATGCTGGGTCTATGGCTGAATCACTGATTCTCCAAATCAGAATCAAATCTTCAAATTCAGCTGAATTGAATTGGGACAGTAATCTGAATCAACGAATCAAATCACTGTCCCCTGAATCGGGCTTCATCCAAATCAAATACTGCTCACTTCGCACACCCATGGCTTGCAGCAGCCTGCAGGCTTTCAGGGGCTGAAGCCCACTTGCAGCTGATAAGCAACTGACAACAGGCTTGCTAGAAGGACTGGGCCAGTTGCAGGGAATAATTAGCTGGCCCTTACCGAGTTAAAGACTCCCAGGGAATTCAGTCAGGAGGAGTCAGAGCTGCGGGCTGGAAGCTGAGAGATGCAAGCAAGAGCAGAGTGAATGGGAGACAGCTGGCAGGTCAGCTCATGAAGGAGCCCCAAGCTCATACCAGGAGTGCTTCTTTCCCATAGGAACATGCGTGCAGCAGAGGGACTGAGTGGAACTTCCTGTTGCTGAAGGGACCGGAGGGACAAGAGAGAGAGCAGGCAAGTTGCGGCAGAACCTAAGGACTCTCTTCGAGTCTGGGAGAAGACCCCATGTAATATAATTGTTTGGTTTATACACGGAGTTGTTTAGGTGGACTCCTGCCAGGACAGAGTTTGCTCCTGGGGAATAAAGATACTGGGAAAGATGATAAGCAAACCTGAAAGACTGCATGTATGAGCTACGCATATCCCTGAACCTGCTACAGGCTGCCTAAAAAATGACCCATGTCTTAGGAATTCATATATTATTCTTATTACCTGGAGTAATGCATGGCTTGATGGCCTGCAATGTTAAAATAGAAGTCAGTTGTGTGCTTCATCTCATCAGTGTGTCCAGAAACTTCAATCCAGTGTGCTATTGGGAGGCAGTAAACTCCATCTACAAAGTTGCTTTCATTGTAAACGCAGCATCGGTCATGATGAGGCCCATTACCTGAAACAAAAAGGAGTAATGCAGACAGCATGAGAGTTAACACTGTCTTTACAGACTCAGAGAACATGTAAATGTAAAGCCTTTTGGGCAAGGACTATTGTTTGCTATTTATCTGGACACCATTTAGCAAAATGCAATGCTTAGTACATCACTTGGTTGGCCTCTACACACTGCCAAAAAAGTGTATTCAATAACAACTGAAAAACCACCTTGTAGAATAAATCATAAAAATTTAATAGAATCCCAAATGATTAACACTGCACTTTTTAAGTTATAAAGCAGATATAAAAAGAGTTAGATATGTTTTAAAAAACATAAGTTCTGCCTTTACTTAACTGCTAATACCCAGTTTCAAGGCTCTGTATTTCCTTTGCAACATTTGAGGATGCCACTGATACTTAAAGAAGGCCTAATCTTGAACAGGAAATTTTTCTACTGTTACCAACACCAGTTCAGCTCCTATTGCAGCAGCAGTGATGAGAGCTCTAGTATAGATTAGGTACTAGATTTTGAGTTCCATCCTGTGGAAACCTACCTTGGGAGGTAAAGAGGAGGAGAGGAAGAAAGGAGCACATGCAGCCATGTCCATATTAGTATTCACATTACTGTGGTATAGACACAACACTGAAAAAAGCAATCTCTCTTTCCAATTTTAGACACATTTATAGGTTCTAAAAATGGTGCAAGAGAAACTTCACATTAAAGTGTGGCAGATTAAAAACAAAAACAAAAAACCTTCCACCTCATTTTATAAAGTTTCTAGCTGTCATTTTAAAACCAGATTGAGAAGGCTAAATTATGCTACCTTCTACTGCTAAAACACAGAGATGGCCAAAAACATTTGTAACTCTGTCTCTACAACATGTTAACAGTATTCAACAAAATATACATTTCTAGAACATAAGGAGACAGACTGGGTATCTCTGTCATCAGTACTGGCTGCCTAAAAAGCTGGTTGGGCATAAAAAAGCCCATATGGTAGCTCAGGGAAGAACAGAAGATGCATTAGTAACCCAGATGTAACAAAGGGCACTCCCCACAGAACCCGGACAACACTGCAACTTGTTTAGAGGTGTTAATGTCTCCAATGGCTGTTCCTAGGGTAGCACACCTTGCCCCAGCCTCATAGCTGGACTCCTTGTCTGATCGTTATATGGGACCTCAATTAAAGGGCATACATTTTCCTCCAAAAAAGCCATGTTTAAGCTGCACATAAAATATATGGTTCAATGAACAACCAAATCAACAGCTCTGCTCTCTCGTAAATGCAATAATATGCAATAAAATAGTTCTAAAAATATACAAATGCAAACTCATATTTATTTACTTTCCTCTTTTTTTTGGTCTGGAGTAATGCTTAATCTATCATTAAAACTTCCGATAAGAAAAATCAATTTTCAGAACTATTCTCTTCAAATTTTCAGGTAACGAAAGAAGAAAACATTCTGGGATTTGTATGTGCGTTTTCCAATATTAGAGAATTAGTATGGAGCAAAAGAAAGACCTAAAGAAGATAATGATTTCTATTTTGCCACTTATTTGACAATCTAACAAAAACACTATTTTGCAAAGGTCTAATAAATGGAAAGTCTTATTGCAGGGAAATTGTACTTGTAAAGTATAATTTATAGGGACAAAATAAAAAGAAATATTTCAGTAGACTCCCTGAGGTTGTTAAAATAGACTGAATAACATAGGGGTCCTAAAAGGTAATAGTTTTATAATGGCTGCTTGTATAGAAAGATAATGAGCACACTGCTTTCAAAGCATTAGTACCTAGCAAGTAACTGTGTTTTAATCCATCACAGGGAATGAATATATTAATAATAAAAAAAAAGAGTTCTAGTAGCTCTACCTTGGAGAGTGCAAGTGGCGGATGCAGCATGGAGGCAGAAAGAGATGTATGAGAGAAATACCGAGTAGGAAAATTAGAAGGATATGAGAGATGAAACAAGGCTTCTGACTTTATTTTATTACATCTCTAATACACCAATGATTGATAAAATATCCCTTCTTTATACATTCTTTGCCTTGATCTGAAATCTACATTTGGGTAGGTAGCTTCAATGTGTCCTAGAAAGGAAATATGAGCAGAGGACAAGAGCGTTAAATAAATTCCCTGTATCAAAATGAGAGAGAGTCTGTTTTGATCATAGGCAGTTTCCGGACCACTAGTGCATTCATACTGCAAAGAGATCTCATTTCAAACTCTTTTAATTTGGGCTGAATTGGGTCATGTTTGTGATCAAAAGGTTTTTCAGACACAAAAAAATCATGTGACTATATATGCTTATTTGTCATGCTCATTCTCTTTTTATTCCAAAACAGTGTAATACTCACAGCCATGTAGGAATTACGGCAGATTAGAAGTAATCCAGTGTATGGTCTGGTTTTAATATAAACCTGTTATAGTTTTATTTTCTTAATGATGTCAGAACACTTCTAAGTAAAAATTATGCCTGAAGGACTAGCATCTCAAAGTGCAGCTCATTTATGACCCCACTTCCAAGCACCACACTAAAAGGAAATTTCTTAGTCTATGAGCATTGTAGGAAAAATATTAAAGCAAATGGTTAGATAGCCAAGCATTTTAATAGTATAGCTCAACTGTGAACAGCACTTTTATGCTGTAGTTATGCATTGCTGTTTTTAAACATAAAACAAGGAACACAAGCGTGCAACACAGGAAACTACTTTTCCTCCTGCCTGCTGCTGAAACATTATATTCCATACCCAATGATATGAAATAATTTCCATTAAAATAAAGGTAATCAAGACCAGTTTAGAGCTATGCATCTTATACATTTTTATTTAATATGTTTATTGTATGTGCTTTTTTCTTACCACTTTAAATAGCATTTCAAGACAGCAGAGCACATCAACAAGCACTATTAGTGGGAAAATACTATGAAAGTTTATGAACTCTTACAAGTACACACCAATTGATCCAGGATCGTGGTATTCTTTGTTTAAAAAAAAAAAAATCACAAATTCTCTGATTTTAAAACCCCATATTTTTCAATGATTAAAATGAAACGTCACTGTGTATATAGGTATCGGTTGAACACGATATTTTATGTCCTTCATTCCTCACTCACAGCCCCCTGTCCTCTGAGGGGGTCCCCCGCTGCCAAGGCTACAGGGCCAGGTACCCAGGTCCACAGCCCCCTTCCCCCCATAGCAGCACCTGAGCCCTGGCTGCTGGCCATCAGAGACAGCAGCTGCTTTAGCTGAGTAGAGTGTGAAGCCCAGTTCCCCCTCCCCAATGGGTGGCACAGCCGTAGCAGAGCCTGTGGGTGACGGAGCAGGGGGCAGGTGCAGGCTGCCCACTGTGGGCTCTATCTATCTATAGAAAGATACGCCCACAGTGTACACGCCCAAACATGCCTTTCAATTTTTAAAACCATTTCAATAAATGGAACTCTATTGTTTAGCTTCTGTCACACTTCTAAGTCCTTTTTGTTACCTTTTATTCCTTTTCCTTCCTCATCCTATCTCCCTATATCATGTGATTATTCCCTCTCCTGTCTCCTGCTCCCACTCCACTCTACAATCTTCTCTCCCCCCTCACATTAGCACCGGCACACCTCTCTCCTCTTTTCCTTATAAACCATCATCACAACTCTTTCTCTTTGTTTGCCTCTGACAACTTTTGTCCAAACCCTGGCCTTTCCACTCTCCCAAGTCCCTCTCCTGCTCCTTCCTTTACCTGCTTGGCTCACCAAACTATTACTCAGATCCCTTTGCTCTGCTCCCCTCTAGAATGCCTGATTTAATTTAGAAAAACATCGAATTTATGTTCTCTCTAATTTCTTCTGTGTCCTTCCACTGAAACCTGACATCCCCTCTCCCCGCAACTGTTAGCCAAAGGCAGTCTTCTCTTTTTCCTTTGACCCCTAGCTCTGTATACTCCCAACAACCTTTTCCTCTCCCATGTCTGTCTACCTCCTCTCTCTCTTCTATTATTCCCTTGAGGTACATGTCACCATTTCCTTTCACTTTGGCTTTGAATCTTGGTCCTTTTAATTTCCCTCAAATTCACAACCTTAATTCCTAATGGCATGAGTCTCCTAAGGATCTGTCTGACTTTACCATAGTTCAGATCCTTTTCTTTGTTTCCCACATTACTGGATCTATCAAAAACAAATTAAAAGTCTGTCAAAACCTATGTGACCCACAGGGCACCATCAATATATGTGGCCACTGGTACATAAGGGAGTGATGTGGTTTACCATCACATCCAGCCAACTTTGATGTCCCAGTTCAAAAACAAAGCACCCATTTATAGCAGAGCTGACCAGGGGGTGGGGATGGAGGCGCCAGCCTTTGGTACAAGGCTCAGTCTCACACCTCTGAAGTGAAACACCTTAACCATTCTGCCATGATGTTCCTATTGGGTCTATAACCACAAAAACATTCCCTTTGTCTAAGGCTAAATCCTAATTCACCTTTATGTACCTAAGTGGTATGTACACACTCACAGGGCACATCTATGGGAGATGTTTACTGTGCAGCTGTCTAACTAGCTGCATAGTAAATGTCGTGTGTCTACATGTGTGCCCGGAGTTAACTCATTTACTATGCAGCAGGATAGTACTTGTATTTACAGCATTTACAAGTTCCTGTTGTGGAGTAAAAAATTCCACAGCAGCACACGTGTAGATGCTGTCCCAGCTGGCTGAGGCACGAGGGCACTTCAGTGCAGGGCTGTCTCCCGGCTAGCCCCACACTGAAGCACCCTCATGCCCCAGCCAGCCCCTCCCGCGGCACGCTGAGCCAGGTCAGAGCAGCCCTGGGCTGTCCGGCTGACCCCCAAACCTCCTCGCCAGCCGGGGCTGCTCTGACCTGAATCAGTGTACTGCACTCCCAGGCACACATGCAGATGCACACCCAGGAGCAAGAAACTCTGGAGCTCTGCAATAAGCTCCAGAGTTTATTCATGCACATTAATTACACATGTAGATGCACCCACAGAAAAGCAATTTTTGCCACTTATTCAC